AGAAAGAAAGTGCCTGATTAAGAGAAGAGAGTCCCATTTAAATTGATTTTAATAATGTTGATATTTAAGAAGAAACTCGATTTCTTCAAGCTCCATTTACCGTTAGAGTGAGTACTTTCTCATTCACTTACATTCGGTAGATACCGGGTCAACGGAAAAGCAAATGCTTTCAATTGGAGCAACGTTAATCATTTTTGATACTAAAATAAGCTCACATAAAAATGCATTTTTACACAATACACAATGAGGAAGTAATCTTATATTTGTATCTTCCCAAAACTCTTTTTTAGAATTGAAAAAACATTTTTTTAAATCAAGTGTACGAACACAGTATACAACTGGAAACAGTTATGAAGTAAAACGTGCTTTACTTTATTTAAAATACATTATATAACATACTAGAAAGAATTTCCTTTTAATCATGATTAGGTTCTAATAATCTAAAAATTTGGCAATCAAAACAATATTGTACTGAATGTATATAAAATAATTGGTGTGGTAATGATACACATATCTTCCACCACTCTTTCCAGGACCAAGCACTCAAAATGAATTATTTTTTCGTCAACAGAGCATACCCCACCCATTTTATCCATAGAGCCCTCACCCGAGCCAAAAACAGCCCTCGGATCTTCAAATCGACTAGGAACTTCACAACCGCATTCCTTTGGTGCTTCCCTACCACTCTAACACGCTTTCTATCCCAGGACCATTATTAACAACTACTCCATTTTACAGGGTGATCCCTCCATTAGTACCCTTTTTTTCTGACCGCCCAATCATCTCATACCGCCAACCACCCAATCTACATAAACTTCTGGCTTACAGCTCCCTCGACCGCAGTCGGCAATCATCCCCACCAGGCACCTTCCCCTGCAACAGAACTCGGTGCATCACCTGCAAATACAGATCGAACAACACACTCATTCAGGGCCCCCCAGGTCAATTCCGGATCACCCAGACGTCATCTTGTACCTCCAGCAACCTCATTTACTTTATCTCCTGCCACGAATGCCCAGCTATCTACGTTGGGAAAACCAGAAGGAGATGGCTTCAGAGAACATGTAAGGGCTGTGAAGATTAAAGATTTTTCTATAATCCATAATTCCATAATTTCTTATTTCACCTTTGACGGCATTTATCACACTGATCTGTCTCTGTTCTCAAAGAAGGGTTTCTCAACTCCCATAGCAGAAAAACAACAGAAACAAAACTCATCCTGAAACTAGGTTCACACCATCCCGCTTCTCTCAATGACCAACTTACTTTCATGTAATCTTCTCTATTCTCATGCAGGTTCTGACAGTTTTCTTCGCCCCTCTCCACTTTGCACTTCCTGAGTGGCTCTGCCTCTCTGTCCCTCCTCTCTCCTCCCCTCTCCCAGCTGTTGTTCTTCTGTGCTATTTAATCTTTGCTGTTTGCCCTGTCTTTCTCACACCTGAAGATGGCTTGTTCCTTCACAATATATAATGACTGTCATCCAAATGATTGTTCAAAAATCCAGTGGAATACTTACAAGTAGTAGTGTAACAATTACAAATGTTGAAACTATCTTTTGTGTGTGGAGTTCATTTCTGATTATCAGCCACTGAGTAAAAATTGTTGCATATTTTTGCCGACCTATCTAACAGAAATATATATTCCTTCATGCTACCTTAACAAATTCTAAGCTGTTACAGTATCCTAGATAATATAGCACCCCAGTATTGCTGCTTTTGTAATCTTAAATAAAAAAACATGGCCATGGAACCAGTAGAAATACACACACAAAAGAATTTGAGAAGTTCCTTGATCAAAAAAATAACATCAATGTTGATTGCAATTACATTTTGCCTTTACACAGCACGATACTTATCTGTAGATGAAGGGCAAGAAAGGCTTTCATTGAACCTTTGACCTGAGCTAGGTAGTATGACTTGCCATTGTAGACAAGAAATAATGTCATGAAACACAAGGGATTGTCCTCTCTTTACTATCTATCTATAACAAGGCAGTATTTTCTGGATTAAAATAAGTTTTGTGTTATCATAAAAATGTGACAATTGAGTCAGATATACTAAATTTCTGCATTCATAGTGACAAAATTGAAAGTATTTATAATGCTCACCTTCCTTTTTTTAGAAAAACACAGAATTTGTTCTGTTCAGCTTTATTCATCCATGAGTCAAAATCTTTGTAATATAGAGCAGATAAGAGACAAAGCTTTAGCTATGACACGTATCTGGTGTGATTTCTTAACAGCTTTCAACTCACAGGAAAATGTCTCGAGGATCAATATACACAGAAGATCACAGTGCTTCAAACAAAGCAGCACCAGCCCAAACGGGGACAGGATAAAGGGTGATCCTGAGATAACAGGGATGACAGTTTGCCAAGATGTGATAACGCTTTGATATAAATCAGACTTTACCTGGTTACACTTTCAGTGTGCTTCTTGGCAAGTCATTTTATATTCTGAGATTGTAAAGTAAGATGATTAAAGTCAGAATCCTGTTTCGTCTAACAATTTCCCATCTTGACTTAATTCCCCATTACCTTGACGTGAAACAGCAGTGCTGTAGCCAAATTCAAAGTTTGTTATTTCTTTGTTTTAAATTCTCATAAAGACAGACAGACTACATTATCTGAATGCTCAACATGTACCTGACTTAGATCACTTAACATTTAAGCTCTGAAAATGTAACCATCTTTTAGAAATAAAGCACGTTTTCTTCATTTTGTTTCAATCAGGATTATTAAGAACTGAATTAAAATGTCTTGTTTTTGTTCAAGGTTCCTTTCAGGGAGGGAAAATGTCTGCAACAGCAATAAAGGGAGCTAAGACAGGTGTACTTAATTTATGTGACATATACAGTATTACCTTGTATGCACCAATGTGGAATTTTCCATATTCGGCAGTGTAACTGGTGAAGACAGCATTTCATACCAAGTTATTAAAAGTAAACCCACTGAGTTGTGTTTATTTCTTTTATAAAAAACTTTATCTTACATTCTCTCAAGAGTTAAGAAATACAATCTTGAATATTATATTGTTGTAGATGGTTTAGAAAAATTAGTTAAAACTAACTCCATGCATTAAAACATTTCTTTGTAAAACTTTTGGCAGACTCCTTCTAAATTGTGTGCAGCTTGCCTATAATGCCCCTTGGCTTAAGCACATAGCATATCTGAAGCAATGAGCAAACTCTAAACTTAGACATCCTTGCTGTAGCTGTACAAATATGGTCACCCAGTTCAGGGTTCATGAAAACCGTATGCGTCTCAGAAGAGTAGTTAAAGTTACAGAGTTTTACAAGGCTCCATATAGATTGTAAACAGCACCAACAAAATCATTTGGAATCAAATCCGGGCGCTGCCTTCCCATGCTCACAATGTGTGGTAAACATAATATCAGATTTAATGGAACAGCGTGCTGCTGTCCAAGAAAAACGGGTCCCAACAGTCCTTTTTGGGCATTTTAAAGAAAGCAAGATAACTTCCTCCTGCATGGTAGGATGCACCACCATATAATTTAATGTTAACCAACATTAGGGAACAATGCAAAGGGAACAGTATTGTTTGTGAATTCCAACCTATCTGGAAGCATTTTAGGTGCAGTTTCGATGCAAAAGTGGACTATCTTTTCACTGCGTGGCAGGCTCCCTACTCTTATTTCTGTGGTAAATGCACAGAATGTATGACAAACAAAATACTTAGTTTAAGGATACCAGGGACAAAGTTCAAAGTGCATTACCACAACAAGAGACTGACTCTTGGCATAACTCTACAAAAAACAAGACTGCATGTCACTTATGCTGTTTATTTATATTATAGAAAAGAATATTGAAATGACAACCAGGAACAGAAAACCACTCTTGGTATCTGCACTTAAAAAGGGGTCATTCTAAAATCGTGTGTATGATCTTATGCTCAGATTCTGTGTTGTTTATTCATGTGCATCCAAGTAAATTAAAAAAACATTGTCTTAAGAACAAGATAAAATATTTTTCTCCAGCAAAAAGAACAATATTAATTTTTTCTTAAAATTCCATATTTGTCTTCGAGTACAAGCCTCAAGCCATACAGCACCATGTCCAGACCAGTCATTGTTCCAGTCAAATGGTGGAAAATCATTCCAGAGAAATGAAACAGTAAAACCAGCCAGTGTTCTTTGTCAGTTAATTATCAATAGATGTCAATTAGAATGGGAAAGGGAACCAATTGTCTTTTTTTAAGCTCATGTCTTTTTGCCTCTCTTTAATACCAAGATATCACACCAGCACATTACAAATCTATATTACTTCTTCATCTTTAACGATGCATTCTTAATAATTTCTCTTCCTTATCAGCATATTACTGAATGTCACCTGTTGAGCAAAATAATTTGAGGTGCAGTATGACCTAAGACAATTTCTTGTGTAATAATGTCAGGAGGTTAATTCGAGGTAAGCACATGCAACAAACTAAACCTTACCTATTACAAGGAAATATAACACATAAAATATTGGGGAATTCATAAGCTTCGAAAGCATCCTCTGGAAGCTCATCGACTTTTCTCAGTGATGTTGCTGACCATTTAATTAAGACTGCTAACCTTAGTTCTTCCTTGCAGCAACAGCCTAACAGCCTGGGAGGGAGAGGAGCATCAACAAAGTCCAAAATGTCTGTGTGAGAGAGAACAGATCAGGTTTCTGTTTTTCACCAAAAGTTAGCAATGTTTTTTAGTCTGTGTGTCACTTTAAAAACTCTCAACTTGGTTGTTGAAAGATAGATGGTTAATCGACTGGCTGACCTGAAAGAACTCCAGATACAAAGTGTAAGCATTGATTTATACTATTACGTTTGATTCTTTAATCTTTCATTCTGTGCTCCTGCAGCTCTTCCTAGCTATCAATTAATAAACAATTTTCTTATACAGCATCTGGACAAGGGGAAACAAGGTTTCAGCGGAAAGAGGTTCTGCAGTCTAGGCTTGTTAAACAAAAATCAATCTAATAATTTGTGCTTAAAATGAATTTTATTCCTGTTTTTTTTAACCACAAAATAGATAAAAATGTTTCAACACAACAAACCAAATAATTCATCATTCATAAATATATCTGCAGTTTTTTCTTTAAAAGGAAGTATGAAAGTGCATCCAAAAAAGTAAAAATAACAAAACAGTGGCAAAATATACTGCATCAGTTCCTCCACCTCTCACTGATGCATTAAAGCTGATTTGCGCATGCAAGGCTCTATGGCACCATGTGGAATTAAACATACATATTGACAAATTTACTTGTGACAGGTTTTATTTTAAAGTACAATATAGTGGCTATATATGGGGTAATGTAAAACAACCCAACCTCTTTATTTTTTCATTTTAATTATCCAATGAAATTGTGACATTTCAAATTCTCAGAAGAGGGTAAAAACAAAACTGTATGTATGGTAAAAACAAATTGTACCTTATAGGATAAAGAGATCCATACCGACTCACTCATCCTAAGCTCATACTGTAGGCACACAGTGATATCAATATTTATGAAAGCTCTTCTCAAGGATTTGTTCTTGTAAAATAACTCATTTCACTTAAGATGAACAAGTCAAGAAAAATAACAAGATGGTACATTTTGTTTCGTTTTTATTTACAAGTTTATCTCTGCTTGGTTGTTGTTTGTTACTGCCGGTGATGGCTTGCTCTTCATTCCTTCTGTCCCACATTTGGATGTGTCCATGAAAAGCATGCGAGGAGTGCACAGTGTTAAGAGTATTCGTTTGTATTCCTTTCGGAAGTTTTGGTTGAGAAGCCCATATATGACAGCATTGAGGCAGCTGTTGAAATAGGCCATGAAGTAGCTTGTGACAAAGAGCCACTCTGGGATTTGTGGCACAACTTTCATGGGGTTGATCGCCACAGCTAGACCAATAAAGTTGAGAGGTGCCCAGCAGACCGCAAACAAGACAAAGACCACAAACATAGTCAGGAAGTTTCGAAGGTCACTGGGTTTTATTTTCTGCTTATTGTCTGGTTTGACACGATGTTTGACTTGGATGACTAAAATCCAAATCCTTAAGTAGCAAAAGGAAACCACTAAAAGAGGTACTATGAAATGAATCACCACCACAGCTATTGTGTAGTACGAGCTGACAGTCTGGGCAAACGTACAGGAAAATACACGGGGGTCATACTGTAAAGAACCGACAAAGAAGTTTGGCACAGTGGCAATGGCAGTCAGAACCCATGTCAGACACAGGTAGCAACACGTGTTCTTCATGCTATAGAGCCTGTCATACTGGAGACTGTGGCAGATGTAGCAGTACCGGTTGATGGCGATAGCTGTGATGTTGAAAATTGATCCAATGACACTGAGCCCCATTATAAAACCACTGACCTGGCAGTGCATATCCCCCATTTTCCAACCATTGTGGAAGATGGCCATTAAGACTAAGGGATAAGGATACACTGCCACCACCAGGTCTGCGACAGACAGGCTGACGACAAAGATGTTCCCTGCAAAGAAAGGAGAGAAAGATGTCTGTATATTTTCTTTTTAAACATTCAATGTTTATGATGTAGTAAATGATACATAATGGTATAGATAATTAATAATAATAGAATACCTATCATTTATTAGGAATTTTCTCAGCTTGTATCTAAAGAATTATTTAAATTATGTAGTACAAAGCCATGATACTGTATACAATAATGGACCACTTGGTATATGCATGAAACAGTACCAAAAATAAATGTCAGTAGGCGTAAGGGAACTTTGCTTCTCATATCATGCAGTGCCTAAGGCAACTCTTCAAAAGTGTTGTAATAAAAATGGATGATTGAGATACAGTATGTACTGTATGGTGGACTATTCACTTCATATAGGTTCAGAGCAACAATAGAAATAGCACTAAAAACATTCAAGTCTAATTCTATTTCATCTTTAAAAGGTCAGCAAAAAAACATAAAGCTGAAAATTACAGCATTATTGGTAAAAGGAAAAGAAATGGAAGAAGTCCATGGAAGAAAAGTTGCCCCCTATGTAAATATTTGCTTTGTCTGCAACGTGGCAGATCACAGTGTGAATAATCACCTAAATTAATGAGAACCGATCGCCCCTAGTAATTAATTGATCCAAGGATCTCATCCAGCTGTTTCGTGAAAGAAACTGGAGTATCAGTTTCAGCAACATGGCTGGGGAGTATGTTCTAAACTCCCTCAACACTTCCATGATCTTGTTTTTGTTTTAAGAGCAACTTACAACAAACTACACAACCAAATGCAGGAGACAAAAAATGATATTAACTCCCTAGTTTATAATTGCAAATGTTTAAAAAGCCAGTTCATTTAGATTTGACAAATTCCATTTTATTGTTAATTCTGTTACAGCTACACTTCCTTGTTTTAGCCTCGCCAACATAAAAATATTAATACATAATTGAAGTCGAGAATGCTAATACTTCATAGGGCTTTGATATTGCTCACTATAATTACAACAAATCCCTTCTGCATTCCCATTATAATGGTATAATTGAATTCTAGTGTTTTTTCAGACACTTTTAATCTCAAATCAGTTGGGACAGCACAATGCATCAGAAAACAAAATACGAAAAGTTGTCAAATAACAGTTACTAATTGTATTGAATCATATATACAAGTGGTCAATGACTGATTTGAAAATCTAAATGAAATTTATCAAATGTCCAACCTTTCAATACAGTGTCAAATTAATGTGCTTCAAATGTCATATCTCATTATTTCTTGCAGTCAGAAGCTAGCTTAAATTGTACAACTCTGTTTTAATGGAAACCAACAGGTGAAGAATCTGGGGCAGAGGATGGGGAGTGCTCTTCCCCTTCCTCTATCATTCAGCTTTCTTATGTTTCTATTAAAACCCTATTCATGCTAACACTCCCTCATCTAAAGTTTGAGTTCCCTCCATGCTCCTTCCTCCATCCTTCTCTCACTTCCTCTGACCTCAAATTGGCAGGGCCATCTTGACCCCTCCGGAGGAGGTTCTCTCAGCATGAGAGACACATTGTTCTCAGCAGCTCTAACCTACTAATTCTCCTTCTCTTGGTTCCCTGAGAGCCCAGCTCAGTCGCAAGACAGAGCCTTCTAAGTGACTCTCATTAAGTCAGGGGGCTTCCCCTCTTTCACTTCCTTCTCAAGCAGCTCTTTCTCTTCATTCTTCACCCCTGGGGCAGCGCCTCTCAAAGCGATTCCTCCAGTCAAGGGGTTCTTTCTCTTTCCCCTTGAGGGATTCATTTCCAATTATGATGCAGCGCACTGGAGCGACTCTCAGCGAGTATCTCCTCCTTTGTATCCCCTTAGGGCCTAGCCCAGTCGTGAGGCAGCACCTCTCAAAGCGACTCTCAGTGACTCAGGGAAGTCTTCCTCTTCCTTCCCTACGCCTGAGGGGCCAGCTCCCTGTCATGAGGCAGTGCTTCTCAGGGGACTCTCGGTGACTCCGGGGTTTTTATGTTTTTATGCTCCAGAGGCTGCCGAACCAGCCAAACTAGAACCCCCCAGGTTGCCAGCACGGTCCGGGCGCTTTTCTGTACTTTACTAACCCCTGCTTCTCCCCTTGAACTTAATGAATTACCCTCTCCTTCTCTGTGAAAATTGATTTTCCTTATAATAAAGACATATAAATTAGGAGACTCAGGAGCAAACTGTATACATGAAGTACTAAGTGCTACCATTTTGCTAATTACTTTAAATGTAGCAGATGGTCAGCAACCTGGAATTCTGTTCTGCTGTTTTTCTAGGGTCATACTGAAAGTTTTATGACAAGACTTAATTAAGGAGGGCTTGACAGTCTCTTCAGCCAAGATTTAAAGGCAGGGAGTTTTATGATGGAGACCTAATAAATAGTAATGTTCTCATGATCATCTTTGTTATCCTTGTAAGGTCTAAGCAATACAAGAAATAGAATCTTCAGCGATTATTTTATTTTTAACTTGCGCTAACATAAGATATTTATAGGAGTGATGGATTTTTTATCCACAAAAGAGCTTTTCTATTTCTTTCCTAGGGAAACTTGATTGTCAAAAAATATCCCTGGCGCAAAAACTATTTCTTCCATTATTCAAATGTGAAAACTAATTTACCTTCTAATTAACAAACACTCATTGCTAGCACTTTTTAAAATCAAGTCATGAGACTTTGACCAAACACCAAAGAATTTAAAGCTGAAATGGTATTTTTCCATGGTGTTATTATAAATTTAATTTAGCTTTATGTCTAAATCAACTTTGCTATGTTTAGAAACACAGTCAATAATTACTAAAATATTTTTTAGATCTCCATTAAGTATTGACAATAGAAGCCTTATAACAATTACACATTAGCCACTTACTGCTTGGTAAAATATCTCAAGACATCATACACATTCATTTTTCCATATTAAGTGTGTACAATGTTTCATTTGTGCATACTTTTTTAAATATTTGAGATGTAAAGAACTGGTTACACTATCAGCAAACTAGTTATTCAAAACATTAAAGCAGAAACTACAAAAATACCATTATTTCCATTAATTTAATACATTCACCGTTCCAATTTACATTTAATTCAGTTGTAAGGAGGCTGTAGCTGGTCATTTCAATGACAGGGAAAAAAATTGCAATCCCATCTAGGAGCATCACACAGTAAAAGAGTATACCACATGGCATCACTGCAAATGAGAATTTCTTCTTATTTGACTTACCTGGTTAAATAAAATGTTAAATTAAAAAGAAAACTGTGATGTGCCAGCAACACTAACACAATTTCCTCCTTCTTTATTAAATTATGTTCTTAAACTGTTAGAAAAGTCAAGCGTTTTAATCTCCTTTAATTATGGTCTCATAGACTTTCCTGCCTGATTACCACTTTCCTGCACTTACCAGCAGACACAGAAGGCAAGCAAGCCATCAGTTGAGATGTACTGCTGATCCAGACTCACACTAACACATTATGAACACGAGCAGATAAATCAGAATTTCAGGTGCCAAGTGGAAGTCAGGAATGCTTGAACTTACAGACATTGTGCCAGCCAAGAAAATGTTTTTGTGTGCCAAAGACTACCATGCCAACATCTTCAGACACTCTTGGCACCACTGAACCAATTCAGGAGTGCAATCTAGGGTGTCTACAAGTCTCTAATCTGAAACTGACTGAAGACATAATACTTCAGAATTAGTATTATATATAATACTATATGTTTACCTTGTACAGTTAATTACAATGTACAGCAGGCATTCTGAGTTTTGAAATATGAATTAATTTGAACATTTCTAAGTAATAAGTATTTTTTGTTTCACTTTGATTTATGTACTTAACTGAACAAAGCTGTGGGCAAAAAATAAAGATTTACTGTAGCTCCAGAAAAATTGAAATAACAGCTTAGTAAAGTTTCTGAAAAATGTCTATAATGTGAACACAGTTCTAGTCTTTCAGCATGCATTTCTTACATGCATAAGCATATAACTAGGATTATGCCTGGAATTATACTATAATATCAATTATAATTACTATTGTTTTTGTTTTGAATGTTTAATTTTAAGTGAAATAGTATAAGGGTGGCAGAATCGCTGCCTCACACCACTGGGGTCCCATGTTTGATCCTGAGTTGGGGTCCAATGTCCCACTTGTGTTTGCGTGGCTTTTTCTGTTCTTTTTCGAGTTCTGGTTGCCTCTCATTTTGCTAGGAAATTCAGTTTAGGTTAATTGATGTCTGTAAATAGAGCTTGCTTGTATGTACTTATAACCTTTATTAAAATAGCATCCTGTTCAGGATACAGGCTTGTCTTGCTTCTGTAGCAACACTGAGCTTCCAGGATAGATTCTGGGTTGCTTTACTGGGAATAATCAACTATCTGATAAAGGACAAATGGATCTAGTATAAAATTTACTGATGTTTAACCTTTTGTGTTTTTTCAAGTAAAGAAAAGAAATTACTATGTGCCATATAGCAACATTTGTTCATAACATTACAGGTTTTAACCTCAAGGTTTTATGAAAAAAGAAGTATGTTATAGCAGCAATTAATATTATTACACTTAGAAGTAAGTGTTATTAAAGATTTCTAATGATCTTTATGTTGCCTTGACCATCCAGCTTAGGCCTCTGTGAAAATGCAGAGGAATGTTGTTGAGAAGGTCCTCTGATAGGAGACATCATAAAGCTGTATTGTCACAGTCGTCATCCTTCCTCTAGAGTGCACTCCTACCTTTCTCGTACTTTTCTTAGGTTTTATTAGTGTCACCTGTGTTTCATTCCCTTTCCGTCATTTAAGCCCTGTGTAGTTCCGGGCTCAGCTTTGGAAGACAGATGGCCGGAAGCCTGCCTACCACCGGGCTCAGGATTGGCCTGAGGGTACAGGCTTATCTAGGCATCCTGACCTTAGAGTCGGGGGCTCAGAGTCCGTTATGCTTTTAACCTCTTGTGTTCCTGGTCCCAGTTTCCTATTTTTAACCACCTGCGTCTCTGATGAATCTCCCAGTTTCTGATTTTTGGACTCGCCTTACTTC